GGCTGCAAAAATGTTTTTTTCACCTTAATACTATTTAAGTTATAAAGAGCAGAATAATCATGCTTAAAAAACATATTAAGAGATACAGGCAATTTGCAGCATTATACAATTCTAAAGGTGTTGATAATAAAGTAAGACTCTTCTCTTCCAATAGCCACGAATAGACCGAAAGCAATAAGCAAGCTACCATACCAACAGCTAATCTCCAAAAAGATCCTGCAAGCAAAGTCCAATCATGTTTCTTGTACTTTCTGACATGAAGTATGACTGGCTCATTTATAGCCAGACTTCACAAGTGGTGTCATGGTGACTATAAATGACATTGGAAAAAAAGATACTTAACTTCCATTTCAAAACTTTGATAAGTTGCTTTTTATGACAAAACATCTGATGTACTCATTCACCTTCAAACCCTTTATTTTTCTGTCTCCAAGAGTATGAGTAAGCAGGCTACTTCCAGACAGTACTTCCACAGCTGGCATGGGAAGGTAGAATGCCTTTTACATATTTAAGATGAAATAAAAATTCCATACGCCATATTTAAAGCACAAACCTTTTACATTTGCAGAGCACATGTTTTCATTTCCCAAGCCCTTGTGGCATTAATAGAAATAAATTGCCCTCTGTATTAGGTAATTTTACTATTTCAGCTCAGGTACTTCACATAAAGCAAATGTTACAAGTCAGAAATGGAAAAAGTAGCTTATTTTCACATGACAGGAAGAAGAAAACCATGAGGCAGCCCAACTACTTTGCAATGTAGATAAAATATTTATAAAGAACTCCAAAAAGTATTGAAAAAAATTGTTAAAGTATTTAGTTCTCTCTTGTAAATTAAGTAGTACTTTATGGCATTTGGGTGTGAATTATTAGGACATCTCAAAAAAAAAAATCAAAAAACAACAAACCAAATCACTCAGCCTAACTTTGCGTCCACTAGTTTATCTGAAGTAAATCACCATCGGAAAAAAGATCTTGTTTATAGGGTCTACAAATGTCAGGGACATTGGTCCATGCCAGCTTTTCCCCTCAAAGTAACAACAGACCTTCCTCTCTCTGAAAGTTACCATAAGGCAAGTAGAATTATACAGTCAGGGGGAGAGAAAAAAACAAAACACAAAACAAACAAACAAAAAAAACCAGAAACAGCACAGAAGCAGTGTCAGCATCATACAAGTCTGGCAAAGGAATGATACTTTTTGAGGAACCGCTTCGATTCTCTCATCTTCTGTACATTTAAGGCAGTTACACACAGTAAGCTTGTTACGATCACAAACTGTATGCTTAGCAATTTCAAAAAGTAAAATAAATTGTGTTTGGTGTCTAAGGAGAGAGTTTGCCAACACAGGCTGTGCACGCACCTCCTGAAAGGGGAATGTGAAGAAAGCCATAAATTTTAGCCCTGAGAAAAACTTGTACCTTTTGACTGAAAAATGATAAAGTAATTCATTCTCAACACAAGGAGATCCTATCATCTAAGGAGCAGCTTCAGCAGCAAGTTTTATACAAACAAATTACTGCTTGTATATTAACAGCAAATTAATGAGAAAAGCATGCAGATTTATGTGAATATATGCTTGACAGGAAGTTGTCTAGTTCTCCATGATACTTCACTACCACGTGTGAGGTGTCAGTTTTAAGACGTGATCCAGCTAGCATACCAACAAAGAACATAATACCAAAGATTTCAGGTAAAATTTCTAACACCATTCAGTAACTACTTTATACAACAGTAACAATAACAATTGTGCCTACTATTCCAAAATCCTGGTTTTCAATAATCAAACTTCTCAAAATACCAGTCCCCACAGCCTTTATCACAATGTCACTCAATCTTTGTGACAAAAATCAATCAAACTTCACACAGTTGGGAGAAGGTACTCTCTCCTCCTCTTCATTAGCTCCACACTTACCAGCTAATCTCTCAAGATGAGTGGCAATGCCAAGACCAGGACCTTTTCCTAGGAAACTTCACAGTACAAACTTCTCTCGAAAGTGGCACTTGGACCACCTCATCCTTCACCCCCCTTCTCTGCAGCAGAGGACCCCCTTAATCCAACAACCTTCTGCCAAAATACAGCTTGCCATCAAACCACTACAAAGAGGTAGGTATACAGTTTCACCAACTCACTAGAGAAAAAGGAAAGACAAGTGAATAGAAAAAATTCACGGAACAATTAGAATGAAGAAAATTAAGTGGTTATGAGAACATTAGAGGGAACACTTGTAGTTCTGAAGAAATGCATCACAGAAAGATCATCCATTAAAATATTTTGAAGGCTTAAAGGACATTGGTAGAATGGTTACTTGGAGGCAGTATTGACATCTCAGTGGTGATTTAAGACAGACAATAGACCAAGAGAGACATCAGAATCTAGAAGGTAAAGATAACTAATACACTGTTGGAAAAGGAAAAAACAATTAATTAATTGAAACAAAGGGGTGCCATGGTAAAAGCAACAGGTTAAAAGAGCTTTGCATTAGTAAGATGAAAGGACACAGGCAGAACAAAAGCACTTTCCAAGGCCAGGAGGTTTGTTGCAGTAATCAAACAGGTAAAGAGTCTAAGCAAGTTTCACTTGCATGAACAGACAAGAAAAGCTATTGTTCAAACACGCTAAGCAAAACCAATCTGCAAGAATGACTGAAACCTCTTTCTAGGTACTTGTGTCTACTATGTGTCAAAGAATAATTAGCTTCACACCTCACAGTGAAGTGTGATTGAGACAGCACTGTTGTAGAGATCAACCAAGATTAAGGAATATTAAGAACTTTGTTTTAACCACGCTTAGTTTGTGAACATGAACACTTAGTTATCAAATACTTCAAACAAAAGACGACTAATATGAAACAGAAGATCAAAGAATTATCAGCACCAAAATAGTCACTTTATATATTCAAATGAAAATACCTGGGTACAAGAAAATAAAACATTCACCTACAGTACTGGAAAAATTAACAGACTGATGTGTTTAAGAATGAGGAGAAAACAATCAAAGTCACCCAAGAACATCATTGCCATGTCAGACAGCAAACAAGGCAAACAAAGACTAGGGAATCCACTGACTTTCAACAGAAGAATGCTAATTCCAGAAAGTATGTGTATTTGCACTGATATACAAAGGACACCTCAAAAATGGAACCAGAGGAAAGAAAACTAACACCAGACAATGCAGCCAATGATACTAGAATGAGCAGAAGAGACAACAGTTCAGAAGCAAGCTGATCTTGCTTAATCTTACAAAAGATTATATCACGTTCTTATTGCGAGAAGAAACAGAACAGCAAAGGACGAAGATGACAACTCTGGAAGGAGATGCGAGCACAAACTAAAGAGATCAGCAGGTGAGGGAAGTCACTGGAGTCAGGAAAGGGTCTGAAGAGAAGAGAGAAAAAGGACGATCAGATGAAAAAGTAAGGATGGCACCACACACGCCCCCAGCCCCCCCAAGACAGTCTACACAATTCTGCAGAAATATAGAGGTAGTAGTAGAAACACGTGACAAGTCAGCACCAAACAATGTAATAAACAGTAATAACTTGCAATTCACGGTTGAGCTTAACATTTCCCACTAGAATGGGGAGGTAAAGTCAGGGGCTTGCATGACTTAAGATAGCCATTCCCAAACTTCTGGTTCTAAAAAAACCCACAATAAATCCTCAAAATTTATTATAAGGTCATTATAATGACAGTATGTAAATACTGCCATTAAGTTTCTCATGAATAGTCATTACACATCTGACTACTTACTGCCATTCTTGAGACCACTTACCACGCCTCTTCGGCACGACAGCTCGTCTTGAGTTTGGGAGCTAACAGCCCAAGACATGCTGCATCATAGGATTTGTCAAATAACTTAAGTGTAATTATGTGGTTAGTGCTTGTAGAATTCATCTTCAAAAGCTACACCTACAATAGACATTTGCTTCCTGCTGTTTAACATCAGAACTGTAATTGCCACTGGTACAGAGTTCATATGTAAGAAACACTCTTGAAAGAAGGGGCCTCATACACTTTAATTCCCCTCCTTCTGGGCATTTCCCCTCCTCTTTTGTTAGCTGAGAAGAACGATGAGAAACAGCAGAGACAGCTGGGGCTAACTTCGTTTTGCAGAGACTTTGAGGAAAGTTAGGAATTCTCAAAGGCAAACTGCTGATGCCCACTGTCGCTTAAACAACATTCCACACACCTTGAAGCAGAATACCCAAATCCTGCAGTAGTGCAGCCCATGTCTTCCTGACCCTCTTCAGAGAAGAGCAAAACCGCTATTTCTTTACTTCAGAAGTTTCAGCTAAAAAATAACTTAGGTGCTATTATACCTCACCTAGGCTTACATAATCGCCTCGACTATTCCCTTAGCTAGAGGAAGGATTAACGCGAGTGGAAGTTAAGGAAAGATTCGCAACAGCCCTGAAGTAGCTGAGAACGACCCCAAAAAGCACCCGGACAAGAAAAGCCACAAAGCGGCTCAGAACTCCCCCAGGGGAGTAGCGCGGCGCTCACCGCCACGCTCCGGCAGCGGCGGGGCTCCCTCCCCGGCGGCCGGGGGCGGCAGGGCACGCTTTCCGCACGCAGGGAGCGCGGCAGGACGGACCCGCCGGAGCCGCCGCC